CTATCTATCTATCTATCTATCTATCTATCTATCTATCTATCTATCTATCTATCTATCTATCTATCTATCTATCTATCTTTCACATATATTGCACCAAGATTACAACACTTTGATCCTTTCTCCTTCTTTTGTATGGAAAAATCAAGACAATACACAAGATACCTTTTAAATCTCATCTAGTGTAAACTTTTGATTTATATACTTTTTATATTCTTAGAATTCTTCTGGGAATTCTAAGCAAAATAATGAAATAAAATGGATATAAGAAAGCAGTGATTATTTAAATAAAGGTTTGAAAAAGACGTATGCAGTATATTCAGTCTTAGATGTTTCTTCAATTTACTGAAAGATTTTTGCTGTAAAATGGATTGTACCAAATAAGATGAAAATAGATTACTTTCTCATTTTTTGGATTATGTAAAAGGAACAGCCTGATTTCTTTTATTATCAACATTCTTTTATTATCAAAATTCTATATTCTTGACTTTTCTGTATAAACATATAGAGAAAGAAAATAAATGTGCAGATACTATAACTATAAAATGGAACAAATTAAGGCTTTGCGAATGGCATAACTCTTAAGATGTAGTAACCTTGTGCTTTAACAAATTTATACAACTTCCTCAACCCAACACAAGAATGGTCCACTGGTCATTTACAACAGCTGTATGGAAGGGTTTCCATAGTGGTAAATTAGCAGATCTGATCATTGTACATTAAGATCTGGCACCAAGAAACTATCTTAGTCTATGATGGCAAAAAATCCAACGTCTTATAGGACCTTTCCCAACTAACAACTTTTATTAAAAGTCAGAAGTTTTTGTGAGTTGTACCTCACTTCATTGGAAGCAGAAATAAACTAGAGTGATGATAGAATTTATGTGAGACAGAATACAGGTGCCGTGTAAAATAACAAACATAATGTATTAAAAAAATGCTTGTATTTGTTGAGACTGAGTTTGCCTGAAATTTTCTTTTTCAATGGTTCTGCTTTTAAAGTTCCAGTTTTCTTACAATAAGCATTTTGAGTTTTGCTATGGAGTCTTCAACCATGTGGCGCTTTGGGGAAGGATAAGCACTATTTTCTTCCAAGTTCTGATCGAAACTAGATTTCGTTCTTTCAGTCACTTTAATACATATATTGTCCCCAAATCCCAGGTTTCCTGACAGTCCTTAACAAACTTTAAAGTCTTTATCTTATCTCACCATTCCAGCAATGGGAGACAAGAAAACAAAAGGAAAGTGAAAAGTGTCCCATCTTTGTGATACTGATAGAACCACAAGCTATCATTTTCTTAACAATTACATGGAACTGATTACCAGTAATAGTATGTAGATAGGCATTGGTATTGGCCCATTTCTGTTTCTGTGCTTGTGCATGTTTCTATTCATATCTGTAGGCATCTCTTTGCAAGCTTATCCATGTTCTGATTCACTGGATAGGAAAGCCCATATGTGGCTTTTCAGGCTCAGTATCATTTGTACAGCAGATTGTGTTCTCAGTAAAATCCAAGGAAAGCAGCTGTGCCTGCCTGGAATAGCAACTGACTACCTGCTGTGTGCAAATACACAGCCCCGTGCCCATTCATGTTAATCCACATGTTAGCATAGGACATTGACGGAAGATAACAGCAAAATTGTAACCCTAGCCAAAATCTTTTTTCTAAAGAACAGAACACAATTTTAAGCAAAGGAAAAAGTAGGGATGGGAATAGGGAATCAAAAGGAATTAAGAAAGTCCATGGTCATCTGCATGTTGCAGTCTGCTTTGAAGGTATCCTACAACTCTTCTGGGATGCCCAGTCTCTGCGAATTCCATAGATGTCTAATCATCTCTTGTCCCTACATTTCTGAAATGTGGAGAAAGCAGCAGTAAGAATTAAGAAGAGGAGAAACTGTGCTTCCCTCACCTTTCAATAGGGGCTATCAAAGAGAAGTGCCATACTGTGCATTGATCCAAGAGCAATAGAATTGGTTGCTCATTACCACAAGCACAGGATGCACAACTGAAACAATAATTAAGTGTAGGTTGTAGGTTGATGTGTTTTCATACATAATTGTTTATCCATAGGCTCTTGCCAATGTAAGTATTTTATTAAAAATTCCACCAGGTTTGCCACACAGATGAATTCTCAGTATACTTCCACCTTCTCCATATCGTAGTATAAGAAATAAAAAGTTTGACATGGCAATGACAAACATTGTGAGAGAATGGATCTAGCATCACAAAATTGCTTCTGTGTGCTATCCTGTTCCACTAATATTAAATTAGTATTAATTCATTACACTATTCAAGACTATAATTGAATTATTATTAAATCTGCACCTATGGTTTAGCTTCTTCTGCCCTGAGTTCGAGTTCTTGGTGCTCTCTGAACTTCGTTATTTGTTTGCAGACATTTCATTATCTGACAAGGTAATATTATAAGTGCTCATGAGTGTGTGGTTTTTCTTGGTACTCCCAAACTGATTTGGATGGAAACCTGTATATTTTGTAGCAGGGGATCACGTCTTGCTAAGCCAAGTCCTGTATGGTGGATTTGCAAGATCTAGCAGTAGCTAATACATGAGTCATTGTGAGTGCCACATGGTTGTGAAGTTTTGCACTATTTTCATAAAACCATACACATATCCTGGCAACATCCGGCCGGGGGGGGGGGGACATTGATGCTGTCGATCGAAAGGCTAATAGAAAGAAATAACAGGTCAAATATAAAGTCCAGCTTTCTCTCAGTCCCCATGCCACAATCTGGTACCCGTGATTGCAGGATACCTGCTTTCCCTGGTATTGCCAGAGAGTGAAAGGAATATTTTTGCATACTTGTGTTGCTCTGGTGAATCTGACTTGCATGGATAAGATTGAAGCCTCATAGCACATGTAGCACACTGTAAGTGGAAGAAGGTGGGAGAAAGAAAGGAGATTGTTGAGTCTTTTTCTTGTTAATTTTGATACATTGGTACACAGGTGTTTCCTGTTTAACCAGAAAGCTTTGCATACCTCTGCAGGAATAGTCTGCACAAAGGACCTGACCATCCCCTGTGGCCATATATTTTGGTAAGAGTCTGCTGCTGATTGACCAGTTGCTTCACATTGTATGTACACCTTTTCCTCTTTGTACTTCATCCACACCTGGTGGGTCATGGGTGGCTGGTAGCATTTCCATTCTGGCTCTTATGATGTCCTTCAGTAGAGCAGAGCAGTCAATAATTGCAATTCATTTCCCCCACACCCCCATGCAGAAACAGGCCAGTATAATTTCTTCAATAAGAACATTAGAGAAAAGGGCAATGAAGTAGACAACACTGACTAATTGCATTAGTGTTACAGCAACTCCTATTTAACAAACAATGAATCTGGATGCTGAGGCTGAGACAAGGCAGTCTGACACCCCACCAATCGAAAAGAATAAGATGACCATTCAGTCTCCACCATACAGCAACCATAATGCATAAACCACATGTGGCCCTCTGTGTTCTGTTTTGTGAGTGACATATTGACACATGGGTTGCACACGCTGACCCCTCCCCAAGCAGTTGTTTACATCATGGACCACCATGACTATATTGTATATAGCTAAATGACTATGGTCAAGCTTTTAATGAACATGAGTGATTTGCTTGCAATAGGGAACAGCATTACATCTTCATGGGTGAATGACAGTATGATGAAAAAGTTGTAAAAAATGATTTGAAGCATGTGGCAATTTCTGAACAGATTATATGAAGCAATCTATAACATTACATGGCAATCATCAATAGGTAGTCTGATTGCCATATGCTGCCCCTGGATGGATAGCAATAATATATTAATACAATGCGGGTGTGAGTTGATATGTGCATTGTACAGGTAGAAGGATTCTGAACATTCTATAGCCGTGACAGAGCATAGAAGCAGAGATGTGAGTTAGTGTGAATTTGCCTCTTCACATTATATCAATATATATTCAACAATATATCAAAACATGCATAATATTATAAGAATAAGTCAATGTTGCATAAATGAAGCAAAAATTCAGCAATATTTCCTTCCCTTTAAATATAAGCTACTTAGCTCCCATATTGTGGGGAAAAACCAGAAAAGAAAACTATAAGCATTTTCCAAAAGTGCACTTGTGCAATAATAGTATTTCCTCTGCTAGCAAAGCAGTAATTCACAAAATGTTCTAGTTGGAAACGCTTTGGTGGTAGTTTTATGAGCTTTGGCATTAAATTGCAGGAGGTGTTCTTTTAAAAAATCACAGCAGAAGAAAAGGTTAGAACCACATCCATTCTTACAGATTGTCATTTCTTTTTTCCTGAAATTATTTTCTCATTCTGACCATCTCTGCCTGTAAAGATTGACTATTATAATACACTTTAGGAAAGCAATTGACATTGTACCTGCTGAGACTAGAAGGACAATTTGGTTTTGGTTTGTTTGTTTTTTTTGCTCTTTGCATTGCATTTTTATAACCTTAGCATAAAGATGGGACATCTTTAAGGTTATAAAAATGCAATGCAAAATTAAATTGGAGACTGATGCATATTCCACGATGAATTTCAAATTGCCAAATACACTGACAGCAAAAGAAAAAGCAAAAAAAATGTATTAGTTCCCCATCCTTCCTTGGGCGCAGTTGCTATTCCCCGCTTTCGCGAAGCAAAACATACCACAGCATCCTCATCGCGCAATACCCCAATCTAACACTGACCCAGCGCGCACTATCAATCTGCATAAATGAAGGAAGCCGACAGTCTCTTTTTTGCGAGAATCCACTTTCAGTCTCGAAGCAAACTTTACTCCAATCCGAAGAGGGCAAGGCGGAGTTTTCTAAGTTGGGACGCGCTGCCTGGTGCTCTAGCAACTGGTCGAGTGTGGGGGCTCCGTATTGCGTATATGATAATCAGGGCGGCAGAGGCGTATTGCGCTTCTCTGCCTCCCCGTGGCTACGCTGCCTCCTTATGCGCCCGCCGCCGCCGCCGCCGTTTCAGAACTTCTTATATAAGTGTGAAAGCGGTCGCCTGCTGAAGATGAACGCGTCTTGGCTTCGCAGTCCCATCAAAGCACCGTTGTCGAGATCACTTGGAAAAGGGTAGCTGTGACCGGAGCGTAGAGCTGCAGGGACCAGCAACAGCAGGTCCTGGGGGTATCATGAGTTGCTCGGATGTGGTGAGGCATCAGGCGCAAGCGACGCGTCGCCCGTCCCAGGTGAAATTGCCCGCAGCATCCGCCGTGTGTTCCACGAGTCCTTGCCCGTTCTCCACACCAGCGTTCACGCCGAGCCAACAGGTGAGACCTTTAACAAGTCAACGGGAAAGCTGTTATTCTAGTAGTGGGCGGAGAAAACAGAAATGGGAATGACGGAGTCTGCTAGACCCATTCTTGGGAGAGGTGGGATGGATGAACTCAGCAGTGAGAAAAAATTGATGAAGCGTCTGCTCAAAAACGAGCACTGGATGTTTATCTATAGAAGGGGCTGGGTGACCTTTGTAGTTTAACCAATGCCATGTATCACTTACGAGTTTGACTCATGAGACTCATGAGGTGCCTGGTTGAACAGAATGGCTGATTGCTCTGTGTGGAGACCTGTCTTCAGCCACACACCACATACATAAATATTCTTCTGGCATTCTCTAATCTAGAAGTGATACTCATCTCTTCAACATGCAGACTACATATAAAAGGGCATATGAATCCAATCAGATGCAGTGTTTGACTCAGTCACTTACTCACAGATGTATTCATGAACATATGCTTTGCCTTACTGCTAACCCCTTATACATAGCCGTTCAAACCTTAGTCTGAATATGGTCCAGAATGTCCCTACATGATGAATAACAGGTTGTTGTTGTTTTTTTGCCACCATATGAGTATTTGGGCAGGCTCTGAACAATGTAGGTGTAGGGTGGCTTCAGCCACTGTCAATTGATGAAGTGTCTGCTCAAAGGAGGAGCATTAGAACTTTGTATCTGGAGGAGTCTGGGTGATTTTGATAGCTAGATGGCTGAAACTGAAGAAGAGAAGGTATCAGATGAGTCTTAACAAGCAGAGTCTTAACGAGAAACTTGGAAGAGGGTTGCCTATCTGGCAGAAGAAAAGGTCCTGCCGCTTCAGTAACATAGAATGAATGTACTGCAAACTGGTGGTACTTCATGTTTAAAGTTATTTCCCATCAGACCAAAATGGAGGTATCATATCTGAGGATTGTGGGAGATATAGGCAGCTTTCTAGTTTTTTCTTCTTTTTACCAATTCTGTGTCCAAGGCTGGAGGGTTTCTTGAGTTATCCTCCTCTTGGAATGTGAAAACCTTTGTGATGACCACATTGAGCGCCACTGTGTCCCTTTTCTGAGTCATCTGAGACCTATTCAAAGTTTTGTATATTCTCTTAGACGTAGGAGTGAAAAAGATTTGGAAGATCAGCATTTGCTAAAAAGAAGCCATGTTTGGGCTGTGAATTCATGAATTCACCATTAATTCTGAATAAAAGCTGGAGGTTGTCATTAAGGAAGGCTGCTTTTTTGCATTTATGCCCCAGTTTTGAATATGCAGCATGCCCAGAAAGAAGTCACATTAAATTCAATATGGTCTTTTACTTACAAGTACATGTATTCAGAATACATGACTAGAATTTTCTTTTAGAAGATAATATAACATTGTTTTGCCTAAGTTGAAAGTAGGTTCCAAAAAAAGTTTGAGGTTTGTCAATGTGAAAATTTGATCATTATGATGATTGTATAGGCATAATAAGTCATCTTAAATGGAAAGCCTAGTCAGTTTTCAGTTTTAGTCTTTTAGACATGTCACCAGAAATGCAGTGTCCCATTATTCAAAAGAGAAAAGTTGGTTTGTTACAGCAAACATTTTAAAAACTATAGGACGTATTACTGCAAACTGTATCATGATGGAGTATAATCCTTTGCATAAGAGTATTTGATTAACTGAGTTGTATAACACATGGAAATATAATGTAAATGAATATATTTCTGTAAAAGTGGCCACAAGACTATGTTGCTTATATTGTTTCTACTGCTTGCTGTTGTTTTTAAGGAAATCTTTTTATTCTTCAAGTGAGTAGATCAATTCCAAACAGACATAATACAACAAAATGAAGAATTATATGAATAAAATGTCTTCATATACATTTAGCAGGAGTTTCAGTAGATATGTTTTATTAAATAAAATTGGTGGTGGGTTGCAATTTTTTTTTACTACTGGTTCAAGTGCACTAATGCGTGTGCCACTTTTGCACATGTGCAGAAGCATTCGGGCTGTTGAGCGGAACCTCCTTTCGCTGCTACTACTGCTTTGTCTGATCTGAGCCGAACCGGGAACAACCCACCTCTGATTTCAATGACTTCTTGCCTAAATGTGTGCAGAATTATCTGCCAAAATTTAAATAAATGAGAGAAAGCAGCCCTTCGCTTTATGTTTCATCACAGTATTGATTTAAAAGAAAAGTGAAAAATAAACCAGTATAAAATTTTATTTTTGAAATTCAGCTTTTACCCTTTGACTTAAGAATCTGATGCAACAAAATAAATCAGTACATTCTTATCAGAATGACAACACTTTTAGACTATGCTGTGCGTGGGTGAAGTGGGACTAATATTGACTTGGCCCCAATATAGTCATTTGAGAATTCACTCTTTTTTTTTTTTTGGTTTTTACTGCATTCCATGAGGTTTTATCATTATTGTGCACACAAACACACACACAAATGTTTTCTCCATACATGGGAAGTGACCATCTTGGTTGGAATTCACAAATATGGTCTAAACTCCAATGAATTCTGTTTTATTATTTTTTCTTTCTGCTATTGTAAGAGCAGTTTTATCAAAGCTAGGATAATTATTTCAAGCCCACCCTACAGTATATTAGTGTCAGAGCAGTATAAATTAGGAACTTGCCCCTGTATTTTAATTGTAACTCAATTTTGTATGTAGGTATTCGTTTATTTAAAGTAATATTTATTGATTTATAATTTAAAGTTGTATTACATTAATATCTATTTTGAACAAACTTGTATGACAAGAAGCAGATGTTTTTTTATATCTAAAATATAAACTGCTTTGAAACATATTGTATTCTACTTAAATTTTTCTTTTTCTTTTTATAATAGAATATTGGAGTATCATATCATAACAGACAAGTTTTATGTAAAAAAAAATAGGGAATATTTTGAAAACAATTGGCTTAAATTGGGCTGGTTTTTTTCTAGCATAATTTTTTGGTTTATTGGAAAATATATATAATATAAAATTCTTCTGTTTTCCACATTATTTATTCAGTTTAAATCTGCCTTTTTATGCAATACATAAAAATGCCACAAATAATTTGCTTTTGCCAAATAAGAAACATCTTAAAGCTGAATAATCCTGAAATAATAAATATGTGGCATTTGTTTTTTTTGATCAAAATTATGGCCTCGATATTTCATAACTTACTCTTTCACTGAAGGATTAATTTTCTCTTCTTTTTCCATTATCTACTGTTCACAATTGCTCATCCTAGGAAATAGACATCTTTAAAAAATGTATTTGTTTAGTAATGAGATGGGATTTTTCACCATTCTGAAACATTCAAAAATACTTGTTTAAATATTTTTTTCTATCACAATCAAATAACCAGATGGGAAATATAAAGGTGATTCTAACAGACCATGATAGTAACTAATTAACAAACATGAATACAGTTGAAACAAATATATAAGGTATATTCATTTTCATAGGTTGACAATCATTAGCTTTTAGGATATGTAATTATGTGTTATTCTACTGTCTATCCATTTTTTTCTCCCCTTAGAATAAAATAGTTGTATATAGCAAGATGCAAGAAACTCTGGAAGTGACACTTTCTAATAAGCAAGAGGAAGAGGAGAAAGATCAGCCTACTGAAATGGAATACCTTAATTCTCGCTGCGTCCTTTTCACCTACTTTCAGGGAGACATTGGCTCAGTGGTGGATGAACACTTCTCAAGAGCTTTAACTCAAGCTAACAACTTCAATTCAGAGGCTGTTCTTTCAAAAACCAAAACAGACTTATGGAGAGGTAAGTTTTAAAAGGGAAACTGAATTGAACATTGTTTTCTTCATAGATGTGTAAAAACACATGCAGTGATTTCTTTCAGCTTACTATATTACCTATATTTAAAGAACAAAAACAATGCAATACAACACAAAACCATTCCACTATATGCACTCAGCACATAACATACACAGCTAGAGAAATTGGGCTAGCTAGCAAAAATATTTTTCTGCATGGATGGAATCTAAATAGCTTCAAGAAGAATGTGAAAATAGTTGGGAATGTTTTAATTATGATTATTATCTTCAATGTATAGATAAATAAAAAAACAAGAATAATTAAAAATTCAAAGGACAAAGGAAAGCAATTGAAATACCTATTATATATAGAGAAAATCATTTGCCCAATTTTAAACATATCAGTGTGTGGTCATGTAAAATAAAATAACATTAGTTAATATATCAATTAAGTTTCAGTTAACAGACAAAGTGAACACACAGTGTTGATTCGAAATTGTGATTCTGAGCTCTTTGTTTTTAGGACACTGAGGAGTAGTATCATTTTGTAGCACTTCAAACTTTGCAAATAGTTGGCATAGTTCTTCATTTAATGATAAATTTGAAACATGGGATATGAAGTTCAAAAGTATATTCAGTTCTGCAAATCAATTTAAATCAACTAAATAAATGTATGGATATGAAATTAACATAGTGACATGTTACTATCATAGGAGTAAGTATCTTTCAACCCATTTTAAACTTTCATTATTATGGGGTTGACAACAAATACTTTTAAAAAGTTAAAATATCTGATTTTTCAATAATAAAAAAAATATTACTCAATTATTTCACCTGCAGATAAAATGAATTTTCTATTCCTCAGGGCTCTTAACCACTGATTCGTTAGTATGTGACATTCCAGTTTCTTATTGTACAGTTCTTACAAATAATTAATACTTATCTCAAGTGTATTTTTTAGTTTTTTATAAAAATATTTTGGAGGTTTAAAATTATCCCAGAACCAAACTAATATTGAAAATAATTCAGGTATAAGAATTATGTGCGATTTATCTTGATAGAAGAATGAATTAGAAAAATTCAATATACTTCTGTTTTGCAATGGCAGAAAAAAAAGTTATGAAATTTTTTCCACTTTTAGAAATTTGGGCACTAGTATGCCACTCAGTAATTTTCTCACTCCTTATTAAAGGTGATCATAGTAATAGAAAACAGTAGCACAAATCCAACAATTTGGGTTGGTAAATGAATATGCTTTTTTATAGCCATGAAAGCCAGCTCGTTGACTTTGGGACAGTCATTATCTCTCAGCCCAACCCTTTTTACAGGTTGTTGTGGAAAAATAGGAAGGACACAAAAGTATTAGGCATGTTCGCTGCCTTGAGTTTTATATATAAAAAGACAGTATAACATTATTATGGTTGGTTGCTTAATCAGCCAGATGTTTAGACATCTGGATATGCATTTCCAAGGATCTTGGATTGTCAGATGTTGTAGTTTGATGGTATTAAAGGTATTGTCACAGGATGTAAGCTTTTCCAATTGCTGTCCTTGGCAATTGATTGATGATGATTTTGCCATTGCCAAGTATTTTCAAGCAATGATCCCATTGCTTTGGTGATCCCATCTGAGACACCTATTACTATCTTTGCTTTCTTTTGCCACAGTTCTACTTCTATGTAAAGGTTTTTGTATTTTGTGATTTTTTTTCTAGTTCTTTCTTTTCTATTCTGCTTATCATTATTTTATATTAGATAGTTCAAATAATATTATTACACATGCTTCTCAGGCACTAGTAAACTTAAAACCATATAACATATTCTCTTCTAATTATTTTCATTAGTGTAACAACAGACTAAGATAATATAAAGTTCAATGAAGAAATACAACTAAAAAAGAATTTAAGTTTACTTTGGATGGCCAGATCTAAAGAGATAGTAGCATATTGAATTCACAGAGTAGTGTAACTTAGTTGCATAAACAAATGACTTATATGGATTTGCAGAATTTGGGAAAGTATTACTATTTTTCAGTATATTAACAATAAACTAATAATCCTATGACAAACAAAAAATAGGAAAAAGTAAAATTAACATATTAAACTGGTAGAAATCACTTACAACAGAGGATTAAAAGCTCTGTTTCTGAACAGTAGAAATAATAGAATACCTAATAATAATGCCTGATGTATGACTTGTGTCCAGGCCTAAAAGTTCGAGTTCGAGTTTGAGTTTAATAAATTTATATGCAGCCCAATCCCGAAGGGCGGCTTACATAAAAACAATAAAAGGAATATTAAAAAGTTTAAAAAGTAGAAAACAAGACAAGTTAAAAGAGATACAACATACACTCACCCTTAATGGAGCTGGACCTCATTCAAGAGGTCAACAGCCCCAGGCCTGCCGGAAAAGCCAAGTCTTAATGGTTTTGTGGAAGGCTGCGAGAGTGGGAAGGGTCCGGATCTCTGGGGGTAGAGCATTCCATAGGGCCGGGGCAGCCACAGAGAAGGTCCTCCCTTGAGGAGCCGCAAAACGACATTGTCTAGTTGACGGCACCCGGAGAAGGCCCACCCTGTGGGATCTTATCGGACGCTGGGAGGTGTGTGGCAGAAGATGGTCCTGTAGATTGTCTCCTGCAAACATCCCTCCCCT